AATCCAGGCCAGGAAAATCACCTTCATGTTTTTGTGTTTTATCTTCAGCTGCTTTGACACAAAGGCATCTGCTGTGATGCTCACACCTTTGATAAAGACTTGCGAGTGTCAGTTTCCTTTTTATAGATATAAAAATATGGAAATGTACTGATCTGAATTATATTTCGAATCATGGATCGAATCGATTCTAGAAATCAGTGACGATACCCAGCCCTACTTTTGACGCTATATGTCTCTCTCTATGGATCCCATCTATCATTTTGGGTGTGGAGGTGTTAATATGTAATAAGCCCAGGATGGAGTCTGTAATTAGCTCACACAGTTTGTCATTTGCCCGTTCACATGCAAATGTTGGATCGGCTATAAAAGGAGACGCGAGTTTCCCTGCTATGCCCAAGGGCGCTTGGATAGAGTATGTGGGCAGTACCTGAGCCACAGCTACCCCTTTGTCCACCCCTATTATGCTCTGTTTATGTTTTCCTTGTGGCACTTCTACCCTGTGCAAATCATTTAAAGGATATTTCAAGATCTCATCCCCAACAACATCGACACATTGGCGGTATAAAGTACACGACAAGGGTTGTGATTATAATTACAGTGTAGTAGATGGAAGGTGGTACAGAAAATGGTCTTTGAGATTGAAATAAATCCCTCTTGATTAATGACCTGATTTTGCATTGAAGAAAGATGAAAACTGCCCTTTACACTCTAAACAAGTAATGAGGCTGATTCTTTGTGCTTTTATGTAGTCATGTTTGCCTGAAGAGAGTAAGAAGGCCTTTTGTTTTTCTCCTTCGTGGCTCAACAGGATGAGTGGGTTTACCTGCTTGATTGTTTACACAACTAATGCTACCAGTACAACTTAAGAGCTATAAAATTGCTCTCTTGTGATCTTTTCTTGCTGCAGGTTGGATACGAGAACGCAGGAACTGTGGAGTTCTTGGTGGATAAACACGGCAAACACTACTTCATAGAGGTGAACTCCAGACTGCAGGTTGAACATACGGTCACCGAAGAAATCACAGAGTAAGTAGAAGTTCACCTTTTGTAGATGCTGGGGTCGTTGCATTTTGCATGTGTTTCTTTGGGGTGATTGGTCCATAGACGGGGATTCTCTAGGACCTGCCGATATGCTAAAAAATCAGGTTGTTGGTTGTGTTTTTTAATTGTTGAAAAATAAATAAATCAGTGGCTGTCTTGCAAGCTGCACAGAATGCAAAGCTGGATCACTACTTAAGTCTAGACATACATCTGTTTAGATAAAGAGAGAAAGTCTTGGTGCTTAATAAATGTACAGTCATGAGAAAATAATTCTGTCCTGTAAGAAGCTAAATACACCCTTACTGCTTCTGTAGGTATTAAGAGGGCAAGCAGCAGCGAGTTTCTACTAATTAACTGCTCTTGATTAACTGATCAGCAGCAGGTGTGAGCGCACCTATAAAAGCAGGTTGTGGCAGTTTGCTGGGGTGTAAACTCGATGTCAATATCTTCTCACAGGTAAATGTCCCAGCACCCTAAGATCAGACCATTCAATCCTTAAAAATTAAAATAAATTAATCAATTCTTAATAGTATGTTTGGTAAAAAACAAACACCTCATAAACTGTCGAGCACGGTTGTGGAAGGGTGGTACTTTTGGCTTGTTTGCAGCTATAGGACCTGGTCAGCTTGCAGTCACTGAGCCAGCTTCTGTGTATTAAAGTATTCAAGAGTCACATATGAGACCATCTAATAGCTAAAGCTCTACTGTAACTGGGTATTTCAATAGAACAGTGAACAGAGCAGCAAATAAGAATGGCTGTACAGTCAAGGTGTTGCTGTGGTCCAGACCGCGAGCTGATTAAAATGCTGTGGTAAGAAAAAAAGCATATGTTATATAAGTAGGTAACAATAATACATCATGTGAGCATGCAAATACTTTAAAGAATGTTTAATCTTCGTCAGGTTTTTTGTAGGAATAATCAAGCTTCACTTTTGGCAGCGCAAATGAGCTGCATCAATGTAAAAAGCTTCCTGCTCTGAAAATTGTCTCAAGTAAAGGCAGTGAATGTTAGAGGTACATGGCGGAGTGGAGTTTTAAGTACATGAGAAGGAGGCAAAAATGGTCAAAGAGCAAGAAAGAGGGTGAAATGGACAAGACGAGAAAGAGGAGATTGACAGAAAGCTGACAAGTACAAAGAGGTGGCTGCAGGAGAGACGTGATTAAGAAAGAAGAGGACCTGAACAGGTGGAATCAGTGAAGAGAGAAGCTGCAAGATGAGGTCAGAGGAGGGCGAGAAACAACAAGTTTAAATGGGAGAGGAGAGAACGAGAGGATAATGAAAGATATAAATAGCATTCTGCTCTACTGATGACCCGTGAGATTTGCTCAGCTGAAACAACACAGATGAGACACAACATAAACCACAAATGCCAGATAGGTACAGCTCCATTGGCACTGGAGTTGCACAAAGACTGACAAATCTTGGTTTTAGCACTAATGTGTGTACACACAGAAAACCACAATTAGACTAATTAATGTAGGATTTTCTGCCTAATTTGCTGCATTAATGAACGGAGCTGACACACTAACCAGTGCTACTAACACTAAGTTATTGGCAGATGGTGGAAACAAAACATCTGCTGCACATGGCAAACACATGACTGACAAATTGATTTCTTTCTTCTTAATCAGTTTCCACACTCTTGTTTTGCATTAGCTTTTCTTTCTGCTGGTCTTGTTTTTTCTTAAAGGATTTGCACTGCAGCACAGTTAATAAGCTCTGAGTGGAGGAAAAACATCAATAAATATTTGCTATGGTGATAATTTAGTCAAAGAACTACTAGCATTGGAAAGGTCTTCTGAAACCATTCATTAGTCTGCGTTTAAGTGTGTGTGCCCTTAAATTGTAGGTAATTGCACTAATTATTCGAAAGACGACATTTAAGGTTCGGCATTTCTTATCAGTCCAGATTTTGGTCGTTTAAAGAGAAGTTTGCCTTCAGGGTTGTCTGATTAGGTGAGAGCCTGGTTTATTCAAACCAAAAATGTATCAAGAACTCTTGTGCCTAAAACTTGAAGCCAGAAAGACTTGAAAGCCATTTTATTAGGTACAACTTGATAGTTGTACCTAAAAGACTGTAGGTGGTGCTTTATCTTGCTGGAAATCAACAGATGTGTACACTGTATTAAAGGGATCGATGTGATCAGCAACACGTGTGCAGTTTTTGGTGAGCCTGTATTATATTCTTAGTTTCTTGTTCGAGCAAACAGGAGTGGCACCTGGTGTGGGTTTCTGCTGCTGAAGGCCATCAGCTTTAAGGTTTAATGTTTGTTCGGAGATGGCCTACGGGCTTCCAATCAGCTTGAAGCAGTCTGGCCATTCTCCTCTGATTTCTGGCATCAAAAAGGCATTTCTACAGAACTGCTGCTCTCTAGATATTCTCTCGTTTTCTGACCATTCTCTGTAAATCATAGAGCCATTTGTTTAGAAAAATCCCAGTAAAGTCTGTCAGCAGCTGCTGCTCAGTGAAATTCAGAAGGCCATCACGACTGTGTCAACATGCCTAAATGTGTTAAGTTGCTGCCATGTGATTGGCTGATTAGATATTTGCTTTAACGAGGAGTTGAACAGGTGTGCCTGGAAAAAGTGGCTGAGTGTATTGCCTTGCCAGTGGCCCTGAGAGGTACAGTTTATTGATTTAAGCCCCTGGATATCCCGTGCCCACACATGCCAACATGTTTAGATATCTTTCATGGACTTGAAGTGGGCCTTGTAGTTTTCAAACCCTGTGTGTGCAGATTGTTCATCATTAAGTCCTATCAAAAATGTCAAATAGTTTATTCTCAAAAGCGCTTTGCTTTTTTCTTCCCCCCCTTCCCTGCCTTGGCTAAGCTTAATAGTTTATAGTGTTGTAAATAACTGTAATTGTGCGAAACAAAGGCAGTAACCTTCAGAGGTAAAAAATGAAGCCACTGTGGAATAGCCATGTCCTCAAATATTCTCTTGAGTACGGCTCCAAAAGTGAGTCATTTCCCAGGCTCTCACATTAAAAATGCCAAGCGTAACAACAGAATTAAATATGTTCCATGTATAGCTTTTAAAAGAGGTTTTGGTCTCTACAGCTAGCTTTTCTCTGCATTCACAGCTTTATGGTGGGTCATTTTATGACTGTTGTTTTTAAATGGTTTATTATGTGCTTGTTATTGCCCTTATATTTGCATTATTAGGGGTGCAGATGCTTTGGCTTTGTACAAGTTGGTAATTTGAGTTACTGAACTGGGCGTGTTGGTGGTGAAGTGCATTTGTCATACAGAGATGTGGTTAGTGTGTCAATAATTAAAACCATTAGTTTGCATCATGTACACACCAGAAGAAAGAAAAGATGGCAAACGTGGGTCTGCTCATAGGAACACTGAAACAAAAACTGCTCAACATAAGACTGATGCACTGATGCCCTAATATTAGAAACATTCCTACTGTGCAAAAGGCACTAAAAACCTTCGAGTTAACACATTAAAGATATGTTTATGTAATCTTTTTAAACAAACCAATTCTTAGATCCTGATCAGCTTTTTTATTATTTCTTTAGTCATGTCGCCGTATGAATGATAAAAACTAAGCAGAGCTATACTGGGATAGTCTTTAGGAAGCAATAATGTTAGAATAAGATGGCATGTATATAATAAGTCGTGCATTTCATATTTGAGGAGCAGATATTGCCGTGATGCAAACATTTCAGTTTTTTTTCTCTCTGTACTGCTATTGAGTGCCGTGCCAAGTCCAATAAATCTGAAAATGGAAAGGGACGCCAAAGAACTGTGGCAATATCATACTAACATTTCATCTGCTTTCAACTCAACAAGGACGTCTGTATTATTGCATCATTCTGCATTATTTGTGAACACCAGATAATATGAGCAATACTTCTACATTGTATATCCATGTTTTTTATCCCGTTATTTCACTGCAACCTCATCCACCTGTCCCCTGCTTGTATCAGCGAGACAGTAAACTGACACAAAGTCATTCTCATGTATTACGGATCCCCTCTCATCCGTCCTTGCAGCAGTTTGTCATATTTTGTTCACCCTGCAGAGAAAACCCCATATAGCTGAGGAAATTTGACATTTTGGGGAATTGGGGTCATTTGAATTGGCAGGAGTGCAGTAATTACTTGAATCTGGGCAGCTCTCCCTGTGAAACGTGTTTGAAAGTTTCAGCTGTCACACGCACAGCTTTCATTTCA